TATCTGACCCTGGTAACCGCCGCCCTGTCCTGTCTGACCCTGGTAACCGCCGCCCTGTCCTATCTGACCCTGGTAACCGCCGCCCTGTCCTGTCTGACCCTGGTAACCGCCGCCCTGTCTTATCTGACCCTGGTTCCCCAAAACTCTAAAATCACCCTGATTATTGTAGGCAGTCTGACCGAAACTGCTACCACCTCTGCCGTAGAGACCCCCCTGCTGTGATTGCCCCTGTTGCAAACCGACTCCTCGGCCTTGGTAATTCTGTCCAACTTGCCCGATAGGCTGTCCCACCTGTTGGAAGTTTTGCGGAACGAAACGTTGCTGCTGTGAGGGCAAGTATTCTTGCATTGGCATCTGCTGACCATTGAAACCACTAGACGACCTTCCATTTAAGTTGCCATATCCTCGTCCTCTGCCTCTTCCCCATTGTCCGTTTCCTCCCCATCCAGAGCAGAAACACGCCTACGAAGCAAAGTACGGTATAAGAGTACAGTGTAAAATAATCTAATGCTGATCGTAATAAATAGCCGTTTACATCGTCATTTATAGTTTTACAAAAAAAATAATATATAATCATTTGTTTAGTTGTGTAAAATCATATAACGAATAACTCCAAATTATTTAAGAACTATAGTCGTCTGACATCGCAAATAAATCTTAAATTCCGAACAACAATATCAAACAAAAATATCCCACCGGCACTCCCCGCAATAATATCCAACAACAACATATCCTACGCACATTTCCAATAACAACAACATATCCTACGAACATTTCTAATAACAAAAACATATCCTACGAACATTTCCAATAACAAAAACATATCCTACGAACATTTCCAATAAACAACAACAATATCCTGATTCGAAGCCTTTCCTATAAGCCACAACAAGCCGTGGAACAATTCGCCCAGCAAGCGATACATCGTTGAGGGCAATAACACTTGCATCGCATTCCTGTTGTCAACCCGCGGGACACCGACTTAGTTTACGTGCCAACCAGGTGGCAGCCGCACTCGTAATCTCCCCCTGGCGTCGGCACCCCGCCGTAACACGCTATTGTTCTTCTATAATACACGACAACGCTGGATATTTAGACTTATTCCAAAAGTCGTCCGTCTGCGCGTCATGCTTGCTCGTCAGCACACACATCATCAGCACGCTTGCCATGACTTAGCGGTGTCAGTGCTATAGGTGGCACAATATATAGATGCCGTGACGCCTTTCCGCAGTAAGGAGTAATAAAACACCTTGACAGCGATGTTACGCCCGCCTGGTTGCGACGGCAGCAGTCCGACGCCGCACAAGGTACGCCGGAGAGACGTGACCGCCGCCCCATCCCCGCCACAGCACACGACAACCGAATACACCATCGGTTAGTGAGCACGCAGCTTGAGCCTAATGACTCTCGTCGGGACTTTCGGCTGACCGGCGAATAATTATCATACTGAAGTGGAAGGTGAGATTGGTTGCACACGCACGCACCGCAGGCTGCCTGGTCTGAAACGGAGCACGTGTGTAAGGGGGCCACGACCTTTCGCCAGCCTACTAGTTTCGTCACAGGGGTGACGAGATGAAGCTATTCGCTGGAATTCTTCATATGAAATCTATTTCGCTAGGCGTGATGAGAATTTATTGCGTGGGCCGGCGAATGCGTTATTTACGCGATCGCACTATGAGGCTGCTAAGCGCCTGGTTTGTGGCAGGGCTTTCTGGCACCGCGCTTTTGTTTGGTGGGCGCGGATGATAAACGTTAATGTTATAGTGCAAGATTGTAACTAATGGGGTCTAATCGGGCTCTTGTTACTATGGTAGTGGCCGCCGGGGCAGCCAGTTATAAATGCAAGTGTTGGCTTCAGTTGGCCAGCCCCTAACTGTCAAGTATATGTAATCCACATGTATCGGTGCAGACCGAAACCCGAAGACGTGATGCCCGTATTAGAATATGGCTTTGACACATCTGTACTAACGATTTCTAGTGCTTCTAGGTCATCAGACCTTTCCGAAACCGCGGATTTACCAATTTTGGAGATTGTTTATGCACGGAATTCGCATGCGACTATGCGATGGAATTTCAAGAGGCGTTAGCATTTTTTCAGACCGGATTCACCTACATTCGCTAGTCAACAGGTAACATCGCCATGTTTTTTTACACATCAGCGATAACTGGACAGCTAGAGCCTTAGACACTGAGCGCAAGATTAAATTAATGTACTGCTTAATGTTTGCTTGTACCGTACATCTTCCTTGCTGGAATGTGCTCGTTTCCTTGGCTGAACTGTGCTCGTTCTTCGCTGAATGCTGCTCGTGTTCTTGGAAACACTATAGCTATAGTACAATTCTGCTCAGCACGTTTTCCTACATAACAGCAAAGCCCCCTTAAAGAGAGCCATGCTATGAAAAAGGTTAATGTTATCTATCGATAACAATAACTAGCTCAGCCGTGTGACCACTGGTCAGTAGGCCTACCTTTCCATGGGGCTTCAACACCAAACTTTTTTACGCCAAAGCACCGTGCAAGCACTAATATACTATATATATATCTATAGTAGATATCTATGGCCATGCTTACATATTCGTAGCAGCAATTCCCCTTCAATTTCGTAAGAACTTTAAGCATTCTGGGCATGACCTGCATCGTGCGCACCTCCACCCCCAATCGCGACCCTGCGACCGCCGCCGAACTGCCTCGTCTCAAAGGCATCGTGTAGGGAACGCCAACATAGAAAACATGTTGCGGTACTGTCTGGGCTCAAACTGACAGCTTACAAATTCGGTCATCTTGACACCTTCAAACAAGACTAATCGGACCATCGCCGCCGGCCGCGAGTTAACTATAATTGACTCAAATCCGCCGGCCTAGGTTTGCGCACAGCCGACCTGCAGACTATGGCCTTCATGACATAAGCGGCATGGCTCGGCGATTGTCGCCGGCACACCTCTCCGCGAGTGCCAGCGCTTTGTACCGCGGCACCTTGCCGTGGGCTATGCGTATCATCTGAGCGCCCGATGTTCGCGCGGCTAGTGCGCAGGCGACAAGAACCGAGCAGGCGCCGTGAGAGTGTGTCTGAGCAGAGGAATACACCGCCCGTTTTTATGAGCTGCTGCATCGCCCCCTGGCGCGAGTGACGTACACTGGCGCCTTGACTCGGGGCATCATCACATATGCAAATTCTTTCATCTTGGCACGTAAGGCATCAATTGGAAGGCGGCGTGCGTGCGGTCGTTAGCGGAATACGCCGCGCGCTGAAGCGGCCAAGGGCGGAATGCCAGCCTTGTTCCTAACCAATCGCGACGCCTTCGCAGCACCACAGGTAGGCCGAGAATCCTAGGCTGTGTGTGCACGCGCGTCGCGTGTGTCTGGTGCGGGCGTGCGTTGCTCCCCGGCGTTTGTCCGTCGGCTTCGGGGCTGGGGGCGGACGGGGGGCGGACGGGGCGCGGGGCTTGTGGATAAGTGTGTGTCCAAGCGTTCACGAAAAACACATGGTATCAACAGTATCAACTACAATTTCGTTCCTCTACATTTACGTTTGCTCTAACGTGGCATACGCTCTGTTTGTTCATCATTCATAGAAGTGCGGGAATAAAGATTGCCAGACAGACTGTGAATTTTGGTAATTATGCTAACAGCAAGCTCGGATGCCTGCGCGTGTATCTGATGAAGGACGTATCAGGCAGAGTAAACGTCCACTATTGTCGCATCAAGGAGGTTTCAAGATGGACGACCCGCGAACACCACGCTACATGCGTTCATTATAGGTCCGAACTTGCAGAATTCAGGCCAATGACCGCTGAACTAACAGACGTATATAAGAAAATCACAATCGGTGCTAATATCTATGAACAGGGTCAGCTGAAAACGGGCGTATAGCTTGCAGGCGTCAATCAAGCAATGCCAGACACCAATTCTACTGTTCTAATTTTTAAACAACGACTAACCCATCAGACATTAAGCTCAAGGCCCGTTTCGTCTAATGTCAATATAAGTAGGGGGAAGTGTCTGCGTAGGGTAACACGTTAGACCTGCGTGCAACTACTTCAGGGTGATTCATGACCTTAGTACATCGCGTGTAGACATACGATGGAATTTAACAGACCAGGGGTAATTGTCGTGGAATTGATGGCATGAAAAAGACGCTTAACGTAATAGGAAATTCCTCAGCACTTGTTGGACTAAAACTACAAGTGACACATTGACAGTGAGACTTTAAATGATGTCACTGAATAGAATGTAACTGAGTTTCCATCTAAGTGTCGATCTACGTCTAATATGCTCGTGTTGTAAGTAAGTATATGTGTTCTACATTGCGCCAATTTTTTTATGCTATTTAATCAACATCATTATAGATTGATGGATAGGCAGGAAGTAAGCCTTGTACCCCGAATGCTAACACTTGCACTATTGCATTTCCCTTGCACATGGCGTTGACGAGTATACATTAGGATGTTACCATCGAGTAACACGGAAGAATTGTCATATCTAACATCTTAAGCAGTTACAGCCAGATGAGCGTGCGAGATAGACCCGTCCGTGGGGCGGTTAGTACCGTCCAGTAATAAAGCTAGATATCGCGGTCGGTGGCGTCTGACGAAGCGCTCGGTTCGGCGGCCCTTTCGTGAAGTTAAACAGCGAGCGAAGATCCTACGCCGAACCGGGTAGCTTTAAACGTGTGTAAATCTTTATCTATTAAATAAAGTAACCTTTCACCGCTGTGCCGTAGTATAAAGCCGAGTTTGTCCGGATAACCTGCTAACGGCACGACAGCGTCTTTTTCCGCATGGCTCACGCACGTGATAGCGCTTAGTACGCGCCGCACGACTCCTGTACCTGAATTTCAATATGCACCGAATGAAAAATAGAGCCATCGCATGCGCGTACGCGCACATGGCGGACTATTCAAACAATGGATTGGAATCCGGGAATGTCAACAGAAACTTTTCCGTTTTGCTGCACCTCGAGCTAGAGCGAATGTTTGCTGTCGATGTCTACATTGTTCGTTGATAAACGAGAAGTAAACGAGGGTCATTTAAATGCTTCCAGCGGAAATAGTGACCCGTTGCTGCAGGTACCCGTCTGTGACTGTAAGAGATGACTTAGATCCAACGAGAACGAGAATGATCGGCACGAATTAACTTCGCTTGCATCTGCACTTCCTTGATGGTTTTACATCAATGTGCAACATTTAACAAATATAAATCGAAACTGCATGTATTCAAATTATAATTCACGCGTAATAATAGTACAAAATCCTGATTTAGCTCTATACGAATGAGTAAAAGTAGTCTATCTCTGCGATTCTACCAAAAAAAGATGATATATCGTCGTGCACGAGACGTATCGGCGTGTAACTGTGCCGGCGGAGGCCAGTAACGACGAGGGAAGAAGCGGTAGCTCACGAAAAAGAATACGGAACAAAGAGTGTCTGTCTTCTACGTGGAATGTAACACGTAGATGCGACGATCGTAAAATCGAGTCGCCGATTACCGAGCTACCGACTACAGTTAACCCATAAAATTCTTTGCCACCACGCGGAGGGTCGCAGGCATTGACCTGTCTGCGCACGCGCGCACGGGGTAGTACGCGCAGATACGTGCCCCTTCGTCGGCAGTACGTATAGTCGCTGTTGCTACCGTCGCCATTATAAACGATCGTATACTTGACAACGGCTGCATAGACTTGCGGCGTGAACACGAGACTATTCACACGCGCGGATTACAGCTTTTGACGAACTTACCGGCGATATAAATTGACTGCTAGCAATAGTGCCAGTGCAGAGAGGCAGGCTTTCTCTGCACAGGCACTGAACGTTTCAATAAAATATAATGCCTAACTACAATACGAAATCTATTTACTACCGAATCTTAATGTTCTAATATACCTCTTTCACCTTATTATTGGCCAACAGTTTCCTGTAAATTCCGTCCAAATCCACGCTGCATCCATAATACGACCTGCGGCGCCATTGCCCTCCTCGCGGTCCACTGGTGCACGCTTACAGCTAATAATATATAGTGTATATATAATTATATATTATACATTAATTATAGGTAATATATAAATGTATATATAATTATACACTATACTACATTATGTAAGCCGTGGCAACAGTGGTAACCGCGAGAGCAAGGCGCGCCGCAGCGTATATGGTTTGAACGTAGTCATTTTGGACGCGAATTACAGGAAACTGTCAGCAATTAATAGAGTTAGAAAGAGATATAGAAACATTAAGAATTTGGTAGTAAATAGATTTCGTATTTAGCTTAGCATTATATTTTATTGAAACCGTTCAACGGTGCCTGTGCGTTTCTTGCCCCGCTATGTAAAAAACGAGACTAGTGTTATTGTGTTCGCCGCCTAGTATACATGACGGAACGGGCGATGTGTACGTGGCGTGGTGGTGTGTGTGTGCGTGCGTACGGTGCGCGTGCGCGTTTTGCGTGAACTTGTGTGTGTGGGGGGGGGGGCTGAGAGAGGAGGTGGAGTGTGTTAGGCGCGCGTGCCTGCGGTGTGTGGCCGTGCAGTGCGGACGGGCGAGCCGTAGTCCACGCCCGACCGTCCGCGGTCGACATGCGTTCTTTCCGGGATATCGCGTTACGCTAGTTCACGGCTGTACTGATGAAGTGACCATCATTGCAAGGCGCGGGCTTCCTGCCCCACTCTCTCTCTCTCCCTCGCTCTCTGTCTGTCTATCTGTCTGTTTGTTTGTCTGTCTGTCTGTCTGTTTGTCTGTCTGTCTGTCTGTCCGTCGGTCTGTTTGTCTGTCCTTCCTATGGTCCGTCCTGCTGTCTGTGCTGCCCGTCCTGTCTGTCGTATGTCGCGTCTGTCCGTGCGTTCTGTATGTTTGTCTAGCCTCTCTCTCGGTATCTGTCTTTTTCTTTCTGTCTCTCCATTTATTTCACCCGCTCGATCGCTCTTCTCTCTCTCCCCATCTCTCCCTTTTTCTATCAATCCTCTTCTCTTTTACGCTCTATTGCGAGCGCGAGCGCGCGCGCACACACACGACACACACACACACACACAACAGATGAGAGAGAAGGAAAAGAGAGGAGAGAGAGCAGAGAGAGAGAGAGAGAGAGAGAGAGAACGAGAATGAGTCTAGCGTTTCCTACATGAGAGTTATTAGCAACGACGTCTGAGCCGCAAAGAGCGCTTGCCCACCGGTGCGGGCTCTCTCGACGCGCTAAATTCTCCGACAAACATTCGCAGCCACGTACAACGATCACTCGAAGTGTATTAGCTAATGCCCGACAAACATGTGCAGTGCATGAGAACAAACCCCATTGTGCGCACGAATCTGTGATCTGTTTGGCAAGCGGCTTCTATTTTTTTTCCGGCATAAGTCGTCAGCTACAATGACCGAGCGAATGGAGGGGGGCACTTTTGGCTTACGGTGGTCGCGCGTACGAGAACGGTTTCGTAGTTCCCGTTAATCAATTTAAATGCGTTCCCTTGCACATCTCAGCGCCTGGTAGTGATGGCTGGTATAATTGGCGGTATAAGGCGCCGTAGTCAGCCTCATAGGTGTGTAACTGCGCCTCTCTGCATGCGCGCAGCAACAGATATACGGCAGAGCATTATCGAACATTACGCGATAATAGTTACACACCATTTTTCTTGTGCATAATTTTTACGAGCATAAAGAAACGCATATGAAATCCGTGTGGCCATGCACTATAGCATATTCGTAGATGAAACGTGAAAATTGTATCAGGACCGTCATTGTCGTTGTCGCCGCCATCATCGTCGTCATTGTCGTTGTCGCCGCCATCATCGTCGTCATTACCATCATCCTCATTCTCGTATGCGTTTTATTGTGGTCACACAAAAACATAGTTCTGATATCTTTTCAACAATTGCTTAGTATATCGATTGACCTATTGAGAACCTATAGGCTATATAAAGTGAGCGGGATTTAGATTCCTAAATAACTAAATACATGGACGGTTCATTGACCTTATCTTGAGAAGAATAACATGGATAATCTCGTACGCACCCGAATAGCTAGACCAATAAATTGTGCCCTAAAATGTTGTATATTCTGGTGTTATTTTAGGACACAACACCAGAAACACCTAAAATAACACCAGTATATAAAAATTTTTAGGGCACAATTTATTGGTCTACCAAATAGCCACCCGACATACTATTACAGTGCATGTAAAGGTAGAGAGAACTAAAGCGCTAGGTATATATAATACGATGTCCATAATCATGCGCGATTTACCTTTCCGAATATCACGCAATACCTGATTTGCGTATTAGGAGTATGCTCGGCTCGCCCGTTTTTGCGCGTATAGAACAAGCGCGGTGACTTACCAGACAAAGAAATCCCAGTGCTGTCACGCGAATCCCCATATTGACCACAGTCGGGAACAACTGTTAGGCGCTGGAATATAAAAAATGTCAAACATGATCCATTGCAATTCGTACATGGCAGCTTTCTACCCATGAACATCGGCCGCAGTTCATAACCAAACCAAGAACGCCAGCGGGACTCGCGTTAGGGACGTAGAGGCACTCCGCACGACGAATGTACCTTCGCGCACTATGCAGTATATTATATGTTCGCGCATTCTTCTTTCAGGCGTGATATAAAACAAACCCGAAAAACTGCCGCAGCTTAGCTGTGAAGTTCCATGCACTCGTCGCAGTGGGAAACGCTCACGTACTAATCTTCAAACGAGCAATTAATACTTTCTACCTCAACCTTTTGAGCCTGAAAACCAGCACATGAGTTCCCGCTATAGTCATTTCCGAACTCAACCGTCACAATACTTCATGGCACCAAAAACGTCACGATGTAAACAATCAATCAGCTTTAATTACCTTCAAATCACTATTACGTCACTCAAAAAAAAGTAATGGGTTGAGTGTCTATCGTGTCACGCAGGGTATTGCTAATAAAACCGCACAAGTTGAACTCACCTCCTCTATGACAATCCGCTCGTGATGGATATACCGACTGCACAAACACACTACGTCATTACGTCCGCTATGCTTCTGTATTAGCTTCTTATAGCGAGAGCGGCGATCACGTGACGACGATTCGCGGGAGACTCAGAGAGCGCGACGGAGCCAATCAATTGTGCATTCCATTAACCCAGCTAGCTCGCACGCTGTGCGCTCAACAATGTTCGCGCGAGCGGCTATGCCGAAAACTCGCCCACCCTGCCGCGTTTTTACACACACGACACTGACCGCAAACTTTAATCGCTTTAGTTGGGCGACGCGAGAATCCTGCGCGCGAACGAAAATTTTTGAAAAGCAAACGAACAGCGGCGTGGAAGGTTAACAAGCCTTACCTTTATATTGTAACTCGTGGTCAGCCCGCCAATGAGTTCACAACTTCTGAAGTGGCCACTTACAAGTTTCGCTAATATTGCGGTCTATAGAGAGAGAGAGCGAGTGAGAGAGCGAGCGAGAGCGAGAGAAGGAGAGAGGGGGGGGGGGAAGTCGGTGAGGTGTAAAGACACACGAACAAGTTGTGGACGTTCCTCCTGACCTCTGTCGCGGCTACGCGCTCGTAATTATTGCGGCTTGTAACTGAGTGGCCTTCTGGCCTAGAAAACGTGCCTCGCGTTTCCGCCTTATGCTCAGCACGTAAGTCTCGCATTCTCTGAACCAGCTCGTCTGCTCGCATGTGCGAGTCCACCGCCTACCCTGCAGCGCCGACGACTGTTCTTCGCCGAACCAACGCGCTCACAGTAAGGCTCTGCGCGATCGAAGCAGGTCTTACACGACGATTGTTTCGTCGGTCATACAAAAAATACAAAAAATCTCACACACGGCAAGAGAGATATATCGAATGAGCGAGGTTGATACACGGAAGTCGGGCGATTATGATGGACACCGGCGATGGGTATTTTGCTTTCGCGCTATTGTTTCTTCGTGCATGTGGTATAGGCCTACAAGTCGTCGGCGTACTGCCGCGCTCTGCCGAAAAACTATGCACGCATGAAAACAGCTGCAGCTACCAGTTGGTGATAGCTGAGCTTCAGGCTGTACCTACGTGTGTAGACGCACTGCAATCAGTAAGCATATAAGGCAGCTTCCGAACCGAGTCATCGCAGGTGGACGATGTTATGAATTTGCGCCTTTATGAAATAACGGCCGATAATCAACAATATACTGTATAAGCTGTATATTTCGCGGTGGTTTTAGTTTTTCGCGAATTTCGCGAACGCGTCCCCGACGAGAAAATAACAACACGCAAATAATTCATACCGAATAATACCGAATAATTAATAATTCACCGACCGCGAAATTAACCACTCGCGAAATTGTCCGTCAAGTCTGAATTCGCGAAAATATCTGTACGCGATGAAAGCTAATGAAAGCTATGAATGTATTGCTTTATAATGAGAGCCCATTAATAATGTTGATTGCTCTTGATTATATCTTACAAGTCGATTTCAAAAAGAAATTAGTATCACGTATTACCTTGGAAATTGTGGGCGTTATAAAAACCTCAATGCCGATATAGGCATATATATGTAATTGTGTCAATAGGTCGTAGGTTGCAAGTATTTGCTCGCCCTGCATGCTTCTTAGAACGAGTTATATAGCCATGCAGTTCCAACCAATAATACACCGTGCTAAATGGCCGTGCTGTCTGTATTATGTATGTATGCTATATGCGCAATTTACAATGCCATAAAATGTACATATATACAATAATATATTATTTATATAATTCTGTATGTATATATATCATATACAACCCCTTATCCTGCCGATTGTTTTAGTAAGTTATCGCGGATAGCGCAGTGCTACATATGACGAGCGACTGCAATTTTTTCGTCACATATCCATATATAATTCCTTAACGAGTTATTGCTTTTCCCTGTCGGAATTAAGCTAAGCCTCCCGCTAGAGCGAAGGGGATGTCATTCCCAGCTAACCCCTCTGGTGCTACCCTTGATATAAAGGTGCGCAGTCTGTCCAGCTTAAACGTTCTAAGAGGCAACCCTGTATAGTGCCCCCATGCAGACACACGCGAACGCAACAATCGTGCCAATCTCAGAGCACTTATCTTGGGAAATATCGCCAAGACAGTAAAACGTCAAGATAATTTCGCCATTAGGCTAATCTACTGCAAGCATCACTATGAAAGTTGCGGGTAGGCCTACTAGAGGCTATCAGTAGAATTTAAGAGGATGGTCCCATATGCAATACACTTCAAGTCGGCGATCATAGCGAGAGCGGTTTGATATTACAGTGAGCACTCGTAATGATGACCCTCATTTAGTGAAAGGGAAGCAAAAAGAAAGTTTATCGAATTATATGTCCGCCTTCGATATAGTCACTTGGACTTTGAAGACTAATATTTACGAGGTTATATGTGGAGCACCCCAAACGAGTGGAAGGCTCCAAAGTAGATAATTAGGCAGATATAGATATATAGGTGTAATTTACGTAACTTAGTCTGTGAGGTTCTCGGGGGGGGGCACTCGCCTCGGAACTGGGTAGGGGGGAGGGGTTGTCTCGGGGACCTTGAAAACCTGACTCTGTCGCAAACCGCTTTGCGCCCTAAAATACACCCTGTCCTAATATACTGCACTAAAAAGTATACCCTATTGCAATATTGCACACTTCGGTTATGTCCTGTCAAAATTTATTGTTCCACACTATACAGTCATGGAAAATAGAGTCATAATATGTATGTTCAAATAACAAACAGCAATACAGGCTTCAATCGGACATTGTTTTTGTTTTATTGCTTTTGCCAATATTGGGCCAATATCAGCTTGCTTTCTGGGTATCTAGATAACCCTGTGCCAATAATGATGTTCGGAAAGTATACCCTGTCCAGCGGCACGTCCACAGTACCTATATTCTATATTACAGGGCCGTAGCTAGCAAGGGGCAGGGGGGCAGTAGCACCCCCCCCCGCCAAAAAAAGAACCCAGTGAAGAATAATGGGAACGATTAGAAAATACTCGCTTGACCGTTTGGGGAGTTTTAGGTATGTAACCTACCTGAAATGGCTTTAGGCATGCCCCAGACCCCCCCCCCCTAGAAGCCCCCCCCCATCATCTTCATCTTTATCTTGCCCCCCCCCCGTATATTAATTCCTAGCTACGCGGCCCTGTATTCTATATTTATGCTTTAACAATGGGAGTGCTCCCCCCGGGGCGAGGTTATAACAGGCCCGTAGCCAGCTTTCTATTGGGGGGGTTCGTTTTTCAATGTTGGCAATTTGCTTGGCAGGGGCGTGTACAGGATTTGTACCGGGGGGGGAGGGCTAACCGTAACCCAAAGTTGCGAGCACGCGAAGGGGGGGTCGGGGGGGCTCTCCCCAAAATTTTTTTAAAATTAGACCCCCTCAGATGCGTTTTCTTCGCGAGCAAGGTGGGGTCCGGACCAGGTTCGGGCGCGAAGCGACCAGGCGAGGGAGCCAAGCGACCGAGCGGG